TAAAAAGTTCCCAAATGGAACTCTTTTTGGGAAGTCTTTACAGGAGGGATGACATTTGGATTAAGTATTGAAGGACAAGTGAGGTGTCTCCAGAGAAGCAGGAGCAGTAAGGCTATTCTAGCCTAAGGAATCACCTAGACAAGGACACAGAGAATGGCATTTTATGGATAATTTTTTATAGTGACCGGAACATGAGGTAGATGGAAGAGAAGTCAGGAAGTACAAGATGTAGAGGGAACGATGAGGCTGAATAAAACTGAAAATCATTCCATATTCTGAGGTCTGGGGTTCATCTGTGCCAGGATACTGAATTGTTTTAAAATGGGTCATGGCTTTTTGTTTTGCCAGTCATGGGGCTTGAACTCTGGGTCTAGACACTGTCACTGAGCATTTTCACTCAAGGATGGCACTCTACCACTTTGAGCAACCACTTCTGGTTTTCTGATGGTTAATTGGAGTTAAAAGTTTCACCATTTTTCCGGCATCGGCTGGCTTTGAACCAAGATCTTCAGATCTCAGCCTTGTGAGTTGCTAGGATTATAGGCATGAGTCACCAGTGCCAGCTCTGGGTCATGTTTTAAGGTGTAAATCTTGTTATAGTAGACGATAGAAAAGAGGGATTCACTGAGAACAGAAAAAAATCAAATACCTATTACAGCAGTATACAGAAGAAATAATGATAGCCCAACCCAAACAATAACAATGGGAAATAGTAAGGAAGATTATAAAAAGATTAAAATAACCAGGAATTGTTAACAGGTCCTAGGTAAAGAATAAAAGCAAGCAGGGGTTCAGATAGTTTCATGGCTTCCAGTGTGATAAGATGTAAATGATATCAACAAAGAGAAAATAAGGAAGAAAAATATCACACAGAAGATGATTTTGGAATTGTCTGGGAACTGACAGGTATAGGAAGAAAAATATCACACAGAAGATGATTTTGGAATTGTCTGGGAACTGACAGGTATAGATGCCTGTATATGATTAGGAAATACAACCTCGGATTTAGGCAAATGGCTTAAGCTTAGAATAAAGCTTGAGATAAAAGCATGAAAAGGTTAAGAATTCAAGGAGTTGCAATGAATTCCTTGTCCTGGATTATTATGTGAATTACTGTGAGTTACAAGCTCAGTTATAAAGAATAATAAACCAGGAAGTTACTACACCTATTTATCTAAGCAATAACCAAGGGAAAAATGAAAAAAAATCAGAGTTCAATATTTCTTTGTGATACTTAACTATTTTGAGAATGGATGTTATTATTTAACTTTCTATTACTGTAACAGAATATCTGAAACAATCAACTTGAAAAGGATAAAATGTCTATTTCTATTCATTGTTTTGGAGGCTTTAGTTCATTACTGATCAGCCCTGTTGCTTCAGACCCCTTGGAAGCACAGTACATTTTTGGCAGGAGCATGGAGTGGCAGAGGAAGCCCCGTGATCTTATAGCCAGGAAATATAAAAAAGGACAAGACCAGGGTAGGCATTGGTGGCTCATGCCTCTAATCCTAGCTATTCAGGAGGCTGAGATCTTAGGATCACGGTTCAAAGCCAGCTCAGGCAGGAAACTCCCTGAGACTTTTATCTCCAATGAACCATCAGAAAACCAGAAGTGGTGCTGTGGCTCAAGTGGTAGAGTGCTCGCCTTGAGCTGAAGGATAGCTACCCAGGCTCAGAGTTCAAGCCCCATGACTGACAAAAAAAAAAAAAAAAAAGGACAAGACCAAAGTAAGTTCCACAATTCCCTTTGGAGGCATAACTCCAATAATCCAAAACATCCAACTAGGCCTCACCTGCTAGTTTCCACTTCCCAATAGCACCACAGTGGGGATTAATTCTTAACATATGGGCTTTTGGAGGACATTTAAGGAACAAACTGCAACAGATGCCAAGGAAACAACTGTATGAACACACATTCCCAGTTAGTGTCATCAGGTAAACTATTACTCGGTAACCACTTGAGAACTTCCTTGGGCAAATTCTCTACTGCTGTAAGCCTCAATGATCTCTTCTGTAAACAGGGTCCCTGAGAAGATTAAATAGAGCAACTTAGGTGAAGCACTTAAGTATAATGTTTGGCAGATAAAAGTGTTGTCCTTTTCTAAATGCTGTATTCAACTGTAATGATGGACCTAGAAAACAGAAAATGAAATCAACAGCTCAAAGTTTACATTAAAACTATCCAAGAAAACCACAAGTAAAAGTGAATGCAGTACCTGGAAAGACAAATGCTTATTCAAACACATGGCTACCTTCTTGAATACCCAGAATGAGACAAGAGTATTTGGGCAAACACACTGCCTATGATGATTATAATACAAATTGCTCCTAATGCCCTGCACTATTTTCTATTGCTGTGCAACAAACTAGGCGTACTCAATAAATCAGAACAATTTAACTTTGTCTGTTTCACAGCACAATTTGACAATCTCTTTAGGGTTTCACCAGGCAGAAAACAATGGTAAGTAGAATCGTGGCTCTTGGTTCTCAAAGGATCCTATGATATCCAGGTAGCAGAAAGCCAGTTCCTTGCAGTTGTATAATTGAAGTTCTTATTTCTTTTAGCTGCTAGGTGGGGATTACTCTTAACTCTTGTCTGAGTAGTTCCTTGCTAACTTCCCTACAGATATGTTTTTCTTCCAGGTACCTCAAAACTTCTGGAACATTGACTCCCTCTGGTGCTTCTAAAATCTCTTTCCTGTCTCTCACCTGTGGACCAAGATTTAAGGGGCACATAGATGGATGATTATTTTAAGGTCAATACATCTACCATAAGGTCCTGTCTACCATATTACTAAAGCAAATTCAATCCTAGGACTGAGTTGTCCTTCTCAGTAGTTCTGTTGTTTAACATTTTCCCTTTTAGACATTTCTCTATACTCTGTTTACATTTGAGTGACAAGTGTTGAGCATCTGAAAGGCCAAGAGACATGCCCTTTAGACGAGTGACATAATGTTGCTCATGTGCTTAGGAAAACTCTGAATGATGTGTAAGTATGGGTCTTTCACCTCTGACTGTGTCCCAACATGTCTACAATCACTGGATCAAGGCAAGGATTTGTCAGCAGATTATTCAACCCCAAATTGTTATTTTCTCTAAAATTTGATAAAGTATGAGTTTGACTAATGTCCTGGTGATGTCAGTTTAGGCTAATCCTGGCTTGATGCGGTCTTGAACACACGCTTCCATGAAATACATTCAGGAGCAAAACACTTTATGCTGCCAAAACAACATGGTTTGTTCAGGAAGTCTCTACTTCATAGAGGTTGAGAATCCAGTAATAAAAGGGAGTAAATGGCAAATGCTAACTTGAGAGTGGAAGTGGATTATGAATCATGGATAATATACTCAACCTCAAAGGCTATGATTAACAGCTATTTCCTCAACTGTCCTCAGCCAGGTGAAACTGCAGAACTTGTGACATGGGCTGCCAGCAATATCTGCCTCAGGAGTTGGTCAAAGATAAAGGAGATCTCTCATTCCACACACAACACTACCAACATCCTCAAGGGTCAAACTATAATTAATTCCTTTAATACATATTTAGTTCCTTTAATACATACATACTTGTGACCAGTTAACTGATCACAAGACTTCAGACTAGTCAACAGAAAACATAACACAAACAAAAGATGGTGTGATGTTCTTGACTATCTTGAAATGTCAGTTTGTATTCATGGCATAAAGACTAAGCTAATAGATACATTGGGTACTGGTAGAAAAACATTAGCATTTACATGCTCTTCATATTTAGATTTTCAAGCCTCAAGGAAAAGTGGAATTTAAAGCATTTATTTTTGTACTTTTTCTCTGTTCTCCTAATTATGAGGGAGCCTTTAGACTCAGATTTCCATGATGTAAAAGGATCATAAAGTCCATAAATCATAATTATGCTGTAATTAGATAGCTAAGTAACAAATCCATTGATTGCTGTGCCTGCTTATTGTTTGCTGTTAACCTACCAAAAGGGAAGAGGAGGGAACTGTAAATGTACTCCCTGCAGTGTGGTGGGAGATGTCTCTTTCCTCTGGTAACCACTGTCAGCATCAGAGACTCAATGGAAATTCTGGTGAATTTCACAGTGAAATTTCTGGCTGAGCATGGATAGAAATGAAATTTGGAATATTCTTCAAAAGACTGAAACCAAAACAAAACCTCAAGTACAAGTTCTGACCTTTTTTCGAATCTACTGTGTAAAAACATTTTATATGTGTGAACAAACAAATCAGCGATTCTCTTTATTGCAACTGTCTACATTTGAATCCACAAAACCTCCAATGTATGCCTGTTTTTGTTCACTCCTTTGGTCGAGCTAAGACCCTAACTTTAGGCTTATGTGTTTTTAGTTTAATCTGAAAAAAAAATTTTTTTTGGTCAGTTGTGGGGTTTGAACTCAAGAGTAAAAAAATTGTTACTCTAATTGTTACCAAGTGGAATAATGTATCTTGTAAAAGAACTTTTCTTTGTGAGCATTTTAGGGGATAAATGACCACGTGTGACATGCTTTAGCAGGTCCATCATCCAATCACAAACTTCTACATTTACTAACATCAAACTAAAGTGTGTATTTCACATAAGCAACCTAATTGCCTACTTTTTAAGTTGTTTGCAATGTCTTGTCTCAGTTGTACACTTATAGCACCACTCCCAATATGAACCATTGTGAGAGTCTTGGCTTATTCAACTTTGGTACCTCTACATATACTACAAATCAGAGTCTGGCATGGCAGCCAAGGCACAAGCCCTCTTCTCTAGAGGGTCTGTATTCCTCCCCAAGGCAACTACATAAAAGATCCCTTTAGACACCTTACCCTGGTACACTTCTGTAGGAAGACTTGAACATGAATAGGACTAGATGCCAAAGATATGCACTGGAATGGGCACCCAGGAAGAGGCACAAAAAGACAGGGAAAGAGGGTGTGTGTACAGTATGGGTCTGATTGGGCCTGGGGACTGATATGGCCCACAGGCTGTCCAAAAATCTCAAATCAATAGGTCTTTCATAGAGACACTTTATTAACACCAACACAATTAGCTCCATGCATTAACTTTCAGTAGGAGTCCCTCTCTAGTGAGAGCTCTGCTTTATCTTTTTCTTCAATAAATTTTGCCATTTTGCTCATGGACTCATTTTTGGACACTGATGAGACAAATTAATCCAAGTGTTTCAGTTTTTCAGTGTCAGTAACAGCCTTCAAGGTGCTGGCTACTAAACATTTCATTAAACACTATGACTGGCAGTTTAACAGAAAGAAGTACCTTTGTTTTTCAGAAAAAAAAAAATCTAAACATGCTTTTACATAGAAACTACAGTATTTCAGAGCAAAACACCAACAGCAAGCACAACTTCTCATAAAAATGAATAAATATTGAGCCCTTATCCCCAAAGCATCTCCATTCCATCACAAGAACATTTGTGATGGTTGTGGAAAAAGAATCAAAGGCTTTCATCTTACTAAAAGCTTTGAAATTATCTCAACCATTTTGGTATTTCAGTCTTGAATGTTGATCCTATGAATGTTTCAAAATGTTAATTCACATCTTCTTGGAACCATACTACCCTTCTCAAAGACTAGAATAACTAGACACGTGCTAACTCCATTTCTGACTTACATAATGAGTCTGATAAAATCACTTTAACTGTTTTAAGGTTTACCCATTAAATAATAAATCAGACTAGCTCTGCAGCTCTCATGAGGTGAAGAATTTAAAAATGCCTTGAAAGAACCAGGGTGCTGGTGATTTTTGTCTCCAATGCTAGATACTCTGGAGGCTGAGATACTGAGGATTGCAGTTTGAAGCCAGCCTGGCCAGAAAAGTCCATGAGAATCCATCTTCCAAAGCATAGTAAAAAGCAGGCTGACGGCATGGCTAAAATGGTAGAGCCAATAAGGAAACCGAGTAATGGGCCCTGAGTTCAAATCTCTGTACTCCCGAAAAAAATGGGAACTATATTAAAACAACTTATTTCTACTGGTTTATAAGTTCTTCCATTTTGATATCTTTTAAAAATAATTTTGATATATTTGAGTATAAATGAAATTATACCTTTCTTCTTCTGATGAAGTACAGAACTACTTTCTTCTATAAATGATTTAATGGTTTTCATGTAATTGGAGGAAAAAAAGTACACTCATAATATCCGAAGAGTGACAACCAATTGTTTTCACTGTCTGTTTAGTCTTGTCAGTATCCACAATAGTGACCAAACATCCATGTCCATGTGTTTATCCAAAATATCCATAAATCCCATGCTTGATCTGTGTGTCATGAAGTCAAGGACACATGATGACAAAGTCACTGGTGTTACCTTCAAGCAACGCGAAAGGCCTTCCCTTTTGGGTCTACCAGGATAACTACACCCCAACAGGCAATGCCTAGGAACAAACAAGAAAGAATACCTTACTTAGATGTTGCTATTGAGTTTAGCATGTGCATAATGTCATCTTATTTAACCATTACTACAGTTTGTAAGCCTGTATTATCATTGTATCTTTCCTATAGGACAGTACAGCTCAGAAAGAAAAGGAAAAGGAGGGAGGGGAGAAGGAAAAGATAAAAACATCTGAAAACCTAAAACTTCACTCAGACACTATGTTTGAAAAACTGAAAGCACAGTATTTTACTGGAAGACACCAGGGACCATCTCATCCCCTGGTACAAGTGGAACTCACATCTAAAATTTACAGTTTTTTTTAAGGTGGTACCGGGGTTTGAACTCAAGTCCTCATGCTGGAAGCACTCTACCACTTGAGCAATGCTCCCATCCCTTATTTTTGGCTTGACCCTGACCTTCCTCTCTTCAGATCAAAATAACTGAGATTGTTTTCTAAGTTTCACGATTTTTTATTTTTATTTTTTACACTGGCTGGGCCGGAACTGCAATTCACGAATCTCACAATTTCAGACTATTGAGTAGTTGGAATATAGCTATGTACCACCATGCCTAACCTCAATTTTTGTAAGTCAAGGCCAATCGCTCTTTCTCCAAGAGAGGTGGAGAACCATTCTTCGCTTTGGGGCCACATCAACATGGGATCAAAAGCTATCACTTCCTGTTTGATCCTCTTCTCTTCTCCTATTCGTTCATATTGGCTTCCATAAGCGTTCTCAGGAAATGTTAATTTTTTTAATCTTTTAATAAGTTTTTATTGTGAAAATACTGTACAGAGGGGTGACAGATAGATGAGCAAGGTAATGAGTACATTTCTTATCCAGCATTGCTGTCTCCTCCTTTGTTTCCCCTTCCCATCCCTGCCCTCCCACCTCCACTACACCCTCCCCTACCCCGCCAAAACTGTATCTCTTGTACATCTCATTGTTGCATCCCTATTTAAACCACTTGTTTTTCCCCTTCACAATTCCCGCCTGCCTCCCACGCCCAGCCAGCCAGCCAGCCCCAAGCAGGGCTGAGGGGCTCCCACCGCGTGTCAGGCCCCAGAGCACGAGGGGGGGCTCTGACACACTCCGGTGAGCTCTACTTCCCTGCACTACCCCACCCAAGCGGCGGTGCCCAGCTCTCACTGATGCCGATGACCATCTGCATAACGGGCCCGGGGCCCGGGGCCAGCCCCATCTTCATGGGCCTCCGCGCCCACAGGTACACGTAGGAGCCCGCCGCCAACAGCCCGGACCCGGAGACCAAGCGACAGCTCCAGCAGGTATTAAATAAGGTAGCTGCCGCGGGAGGGGTCGGTGCTTCGGCCGAATCCGCGGGCACCGGGTTGGCAGGGGTAGGAGGGTCCGGAGACTGGGACGAAGAAGTAGAAGACCCCATATTGCGGACGCGGCCCAGCGCTCAGCGCCTAGGCTTTGAAATGACGTAAGCAGGGCGACCGGAAAGCAGAGCATCCGGCGCACGGAGCCGGAAGAGGCGCAGGTTCTTCTGGGAAATGTAGTTTTCTCTTCCTGGAGCTTCCCCTGCCTGAGGCATGAGAATCAAGAGGTTAACGTTTATCTCTTCCGAATTATATTCTAGATATTTTGCTTATCACGTACATGAGTTCTGCAACGCAACAGTTTTACTAATATATGAGAAAATGTTTAGGTGCCATAACCATACTTGAAAGCTATGCCTGGTGGATAAAGAGGCGAAGTACTCAGACTCTATACCTGGACATATTTTGAAATACACAGATCAAGCAATTACAAACGAGTCTGGATTATTGGGATAAATACTTTAATTTTCTCTTGCTTTGTTTCTTTTTTTTTTCTGTTCGTTCATGGGCCTGAATTCTGGGCCTGGGCTTCTACTCAAGGCTAGCACTCTACCACTTGAACCACAGCACCACTTCCAGCTTTTTCTGTTTATGTGGTGCTGAAGAATCGAACCCAGGACCCCATGCATGCAAGGCAAACACTCTACCACTGAGCCACCTTCCCAGACCCTTGCCTTGTTTCTTAAAGACATGTTCCAGTTTTGTCATATTCATGATTATTGCTTTTTGCTTGAGAACTCTGGAGAAAATTCAATGCAAAATTCATATTATAGTGAATTTAATGAGTTAAAAGATACAGCGTACAGATTTGCATTCTTATTATCTCTTACAAATAAGAGCTTTTAATTGTGATTGAGCCTTCACAAGTCAAGTTGTGTCACTCCCTACTCCTTTCAATTTGCATTTTCCTTGTATGTAGTTGGATATCTATTTGTTGGGCACTTTTCAAAAGATTACTAAAAAGGCATTTAGAGTTCAGAGGTGTTTTCTGTTAGAAGAAGTGGATAGGACTATAGTTTTAATCTTTTCTTCTGTGACTTAGCTTAGAAATAAAGAGGGTTGTTCTGGAGACTGAGGAAAGGTAGCATAATGTGAATAAATAAGTTAAAACAAAATAATGAGAATCCAAGTTTGGCCTGCCACTTAAGGTCACAGATCCTTCATATTTGTGTGTGTGTATGTGTATGTGTGTGTGTGTATTTCTGTAGATATTTGGATAAAGATACATGCATTACATATCTCCATGTGTTGTATACTAGTAAAACAAAGACTTGGCAAATTTGGGCTGTATTCCTGACTCTATAACTATGAACCAACCATCTAGCATAGAAATATTACTTATCCTCTCTGGCCTCCCAAATATCTCATGTGGAAAATGAGATTTAGTCCAAGTACCATCTAATTTTCTCTCTTGTCTGAAAAATCCTATTATTACAAATCTCTTTTTTAATAGCTCTGAAATAAGTGCCATAACAAATAAATTCAATAATATTCCACTTCTAAATTTATATTTTATGGTTGCTGCTTCGATATCTAATACAACACTACAGTGTGTATAACTTCTTATTTACATGGGAAAAATCATTTGTTGGTGATTGCCAAATATTTTGATTATGTACCCTTACAGATTAAGAAAGATAATCTACTTATGCATGTTTATCATTTACAAATTAAGAATAACGTAAGAGACAGGTGTGGCTCGTGTCTATAATCCCAGCTACTTAAGAAACAGAACTACCAAGGCCATCCCTGGTGCAAAGTAAGCTAGAAACTCTATTAAAATAATATAGAAGTATAAGATTTGCAAGCATGGCAAAATGAATAGATAAATAAGTATAAATAAATGAGAATAAAGTAAACTAGTATTTATCACTGCAGTTCTTTGTTACTTAATGGACTACAAGGCCTTGCAACTTATTTATTTTTATTTATTTACTTTAATATATTATTTATATATTTAGTTGTACAAATGATTTGCCATTCAACAAAGCAGATTCTGAACACCATGCATGTAGATCAATGTCACCTCTTTCAACATTCTTAGCCATTCCTCCACATCTACCTCTTCCCTCATTTTTCTTTTCTTTAATATATATTTTTTTATTGTAAAGATACTGTACAGAGGGATTACAGTTACATGAGCAAGGTAATGAGTCCATTTCTAATCGAGCATTGTTTCACCCTCCTTTATATTTCCCCTACCATCCCTTTCCTCCCCACCTCTCTTACTGCTCCCTCCCCACTCCCCCCACCCCCTGCAAAGTTGTAAAGTTTATTTTTAACATAGAGTCTTGTACATCCCATTGTTACATTTTGTTATTTCCTTTCCCCTCCCCAAATTAGAAAAATGTATATACAAGATGCAGGGTACCAGAATCAAATACAGTGACAACAGGAGTTGCACAATGGGGAAGCACATACAAAAGAAACAAAAAAAATCACATAGTACATTATAAGTACATTAAGAACAGCAAGAAAGATAAAACCTCTTGTGTCCCTATCTTGGGATTCATTTCGCTTAGCATCAGGTTATATGGTCATATGTACATTCTCTCATGTTTCTTAATTCTTCTTCTCTTGATTGGTCTAACTACCTCCCCTTTACCCCACTCCACCTCACCCCTTTCAAGTACCCATGTCCTGGTGTTTATTTTGTTTAACTTTGATTTAGCTTTTCTAAGAATCGCACTGAGTTCTTCCCTGAATCCACCTATTTCAGTTAACACATTTGTATACTCTTGCATACCACCCAAAGAAGTTACTCATATATTTATAAACTTGTTCTAGCTTTGGCATATGAGAGAAAACATGTGACCAGTGTCTCTCTGGGTCTGACTTACTTAATGTGTTTTTTAGGTCTTTGTGTTTATTTGCAAATGATGCAACACCATTCTTACTAATGAATGAGAACACTTCTGTTGTCTATATATACACACAAGTTCTTGATCCATTCATCTTTTGAGGATGAACCACTGTAACCCTTTGATATTTAATAAGCTACAAGGCCTTGTAACTTCTACCATTTATTAATAGATATAAATGATGAAAAATGTATAAAAGGGCTTATAACAAAGTGTCCTCATAGTCCTGTCTAGCAGTGTTTAGAAAGGGTCCCTTTTTAAACTAACTAATGTTACCAGTTTCTGGTATATATTTTCAGAGATGTTGGTATGTCTCGGTTATTCCGTGCTCTAACATTTTTAAGGTCATTATATGTATGTCACTATGTAAAGAACTTCATGTTTTTGTATGGTTCTATAGGATCCTATTTTATGGAAATGCTATACTTTCCATATTTAGCTGCACTTACATTGAATTGTATCAGTGGATATTTAGCCACCTTCTGCTCTTTTACCATTATAAGTAACAACATGATAAATACATCATGCATACAACATATCACAAACACACATATGTCTTAGCATGTTTTCCTATAAGATGTGAAATTTATAAACATGATGGATATTATCAAATTCCCCCTCATAGAATTTTTTATCAACTTACATTCTTACCAACAAGTATGAGATCTGTCCTCTAAAACAATGAATTATTGAGCTTTGATCTCTGTTAATCCAATAAATGAAAAAATGTTTTATGTTTTTTGTCTTATGAGTAGGATTCTTAATGTTTGTTTAAGTGTGATTCATATACTCTTCAGTGATGCTATCTTTCACCCATTTCGCCATCCAACTGTCTGTTTCTCATTCTCCTTCTTCACATTATAGAGTTAACCTTTTATCCATCTTCTGAGTTCATATATTTTTCTACAAATCTGATATTTGCATTTTTTACTTTGCTTTCTTTGCTTTTATGTACATATTAAGCACAGAGTTGAGTTTTCCAGTGTTTCCTTCATCTCTGGGTTTCATGTTTTAATTCAAAAGGTTGTGTAGTTTGTCTTCATATTTTGCCATTTTTAAACACTTAGAACTTGTTCTATAATTATTAGATCAAATTTTCTCTTCCCTTTAGAAATGATCCAATTCTCCTAACATTATTTAACAAAGGATCCCCTGTCTTTCTGTTTGAAATGCCCCCTTTTCTAACCTGCCAAATGTATTTATGTTCATTGCTCGTTCTTTTATTCTGGTTGATAATCTATGTGGTTGTTCAAGTACCTGTATCACACTATTTTTAATTAGTGAATCTATGTCCTGTGTTGATACTTGAAGACTCTTTCTTCCCTATCACCCTCCCTTTTAGATTTTTTTCTTTGATAATTTTGTCTAATTTTTCCATATGAACATTTGACTTGGCTTGCTTATTCTGAAAAAGTCTTGCTGACAGCTTTATTAGACTTGTATAAAGATGTAGATTAATTTAGAGAGAGCTCACATCATTATGATGCTGAGTTATCTAAGGACATGGAGTGCATTTTTTTCCTATCTTCTTTTGTATTGCAGCTTAGCAGTTTGAAATTTTAATCATAATGATTTCACACAGTTCCTTTCAGAATATTATCCTTCGTGTTATTATCAAAAATAAGGGAGGTTTCATTCTATTGTAACTTCTGATTATTGTTTAAACATCGTGTTTCTTTATTTCCACAAATCTTAACACTGAATTATCAATATGTTTTGGTGAGGTTCTGAACAAGGGCTGCTACTTTTCTTTATGTGCCATCCTTGTTGAATGGAGACTCACTAGGGTAACACTTTCAGAAAAAAAACAGAAGAAAAGAAAAATCTGGAAGCATTTTTTCTTTTTCTCTGCACCAGTTTAAGTATCCTCATAATCAACTGTTTTAAAAAATTCTTGTTACAATTCCCTTGTGAAATTGTTCAGTCCAGGCACATTATTTTGGTGGTAAGGGTATGGAGTGAAAGGGTTGTTGTTGTTGTTATCACCTTTCTCTATTTGTATTTTAGAAACCTGCTTAAATTTGGTAGATTGTGCATTCCTGGATAATTATATATATTTATATTGGTTTTCAAGTTTTTTTCACTGAATTAAGAATAGCTTCAATTCCTTTTTTGTAAATTAATTTATGCTCTGTGAATCTGCTAATATACAAAAGAGGTTGTAATATGACTAAGGATTTTGAGATGCATTGCTTGTGATAGGTTATCTGTTCACAAGCATCTTCTTAGG